GGGAAGGGGGCAGGAACTTGCTGAGGTTAGAGAATGGCCCTGACTCTGAAAGGTGGACATAGTCTCAATAAGTCTTCCTCGGCTTGCCTTTTTCCCCCTCAAAAGATAACCCTGTTGCCAGCTCAGAAGCAACAGCTCGAGAGATAAGAACCCAACCCATCAATGGGCCTTTCCCACCAGGCCTTCTCCAACGGCTGTCACAGGTACTCGCTATACCATTAGGGAGCTCAGACACTATTATTCTATTGTGACTCTCTCTGACCTGGAAGAGAGTAACTGAAAACAACAGCAAAACTATTTGTATTTGGGAGAAAATGGAACATCTCTGCTCAGCCTGAATGTTCGAGAGAATTCTCATGCAGACTCTTGAGGGTAGTGAAGTTGGAGGTCCACTGTGGCTTTTTGTTGTTGGCTGGTTCAGGGCAACAATGAAACTAAAAAACAAAATTAGCTCTCACTGTCCTGGTGATGTAGTCCTCAAATTATAGCAGTTCTGGAGGCTGAGGCAGGAGGATAGACAGTTCAAGGCGTGCTTAATTAAGACTATGTCTCAAAATAAAAAAGTTTAAAAAGGGATGGAAATGTAGTTCTGTGGTAGAGTACGTGCCTGGCATGTGCAAGGCACCAGATTTGAACGCCAGAACAAAAGAAAAATCTCTCTGAAAATAGGTCTATCATAAAAGGACTTGCTCTTCTACAGGTTGAAATTGCTGAAAATTTTTTTTTGTTACATTTCTTTTTCCAAAAGAAAGACACACAACCAAAGAAAATCCTATTGGGAGAGAAATCCATCTGGTTTGCTATAGCAGTTCCAGGTAGCTCCATTCCCAGGATGTGAAGCAACCCAATTTACAGTTTCTGTATTCTCGCCAACTAAAGCCACTTTCCGGTCTTGGGAGACCTTCCTAGCTTCTATCTCTGAATGCCAGCATCGGCTTCTCAGCGTCACTCCTGATGGTCTCTGGCCATCAAGAACACTGCAGAGAGCCTGGTTCCCTCGAGATGACTAATCTACGGCACTGCCCTGGGAATGGCAGCTGGCCCATTGCTTCTATCTGCCTTGCCAAGCCCAATGATATGCACATGCTTCTCACTGACAAGAAGTAGTTAGATTACCAAACACAAAACCCAGCTCATGCAGGACTTGGGCAAATGGTTCCATATATATTTCAATTTCAAGAATTAGAGAACCTCATCCAGGTGGTGGTGGTGACACACGCCTTTAGTCCCAGCACTCAGGAGGCAGAAGCAGGCAGATCTCTGTGAGTTCGAGGCCAGCGTGATCTACAAAGCAAGTTCCAGGACAGCTGGGATCACACAGAGAACCCCTGTTTCAAAAAGCAAACAAAGAATTCGAGAAGCTCTATTGGTCGTCAGTAGTTAAGGAAGACTGCATTGCTGCTCTGTTTGGTGATGAAAGCATCTATTATAAACTCTGCCATTTCATTAGTTCCTCTCTATAGCTCTATCAGGCAGCAAGTACAGTGGTCTGGACTCTACACCAGAGGAGGACCATGAACACCACTTTCCCTCTGCAGCACAACCTGAGTCTTCTTGTTTGGATATTTTTAAAGGTCCTCCTTGGGATTTGTATACATTTTCATATGTGTGTATCACGTTCCTCGCTCACAGTCACCCTGCCCATTACATCGGTTGGTTTTCTGCCTCATGTGGGCCGTGGAATATGAAAGGAAGGAAGGACAGTGGTCATGAGACTTTCTCAAAGAAAGAACATCACAAAACAGTTTTTGACTTTACAGCTTCACTATGTTTCACCAGAGTCAACTCTCATCACTTTTTATTGTTTCGTTTTTGATTTTTGAGACAGGGTTTCTCTGTGTAGCCCTGGCTATCCTGGAATTTGCTTTGTAGACCAGGCTGGCCTCAAACTCAGAGATCTATTGCTCTGGGTCCCAAGTGCTGAGTTTAAAGGTGTGTGTCATCATGCTAGGCCAGTTCTATCAGCCTTAATTAGAAAGACATATACTACTTAGCTATATAGAGATTGTGCACAATCATTTAGTCAACCCATCTTTCTGCTTGAAGCATTTCTTTACCATACAGAATAATGTTTCACTGTGGCATTTTCATCAAGATGAATCACTGTGCTTTGCACATACTCACCCATCTCCCCTTCTTGGTAGAGCGTTGCTCTCTTCCTCCCTCACTGGTCCCCCTCTTCTCCCAGCCAGCCCACTGCCTGCTCTGAGAGCATTTGCATTGATATCTGTAAAAATCCAGTTCTGCCTGGTGCGAGGCCCCTCTCCAATCCCAGCACTCAGAGGCAGACACAGGTCAATCTCTATGATCTCAAGGCCAGTCTGGTCTTCATAGCTAGTTCAAGACCAGACAGAGCTACATAGTAAGAGTCTGTCCCCCAAAGAAAAACAAGGCAAAGAAAATCAAGTCTAGGTCTGTATGTGAAAGAAAAATCTGTGAAATAAACACGAAATTTCTCCCAATAATAAAAGTTGCTGCTTATGCAAACAAGGGGTTGCAAATGTGGGAATTATAATATGATCAGCACCTTTCCAGGCCACAGCTTACGTTGTTTGTGGGGAAACAAAGAAAATATGAACAATTTAATTTTTATGATTTGCCTGCAGTTCGGATTCAGCATTCATCCACCTGAATTAAATGCTTGACTCTTCTTAATCGGCTTTACAAATTAGCATGGGTCCCTGTTGTGGATTATTTGTACACTGTGTGAAGATGTATTTGCTGTGATTGGTGTAATAAAAAGCTGAATGGCCAATAGTTAGGCAGGCGGTATAGGCCGGATTTTCAGGGAGAGAAAGGAAGAGGAGGAGATAATTGAGGTGCAGGGAGATGCCAACAAGACTCGGAATGGGTGGGATATAGAGAATGGGAAAGAAAGGTAAGAAGCCACGAGAAAAATATAGTTTGTAACCAGTCTTGCTCTGCCCCACTAGCCAGCTCCAGAATAATGACAAGGAGATTTCTTATTAAGAAAGCTCGGCCTTGGCTAGGCTTCTCCACTAGCTCTTATAACTTAATTTAACCCATTGATATTAATCGTTTAACTCGTGCCTTTTTACCTTTCTTTCCCATTCTGTATGTCTGACTCCTTCTGAGTCTTGTTGGCATCTTGCCGCACCTATGTTATCTCCTCCTCTTCCTCTCTCTCCCTGGGAAGTCCTGCCTACACCTCCTGCCAAGCTATTGTCCACTCAGCTTTTTATTACACCAATCACAGCAAATACATCTTCACACAGTGTAAAATATCCCACAACAGGTCCCTTTCCATGCATTAAAGGAAAATAAAGCTTATTTTAAAAAAAATGAAAAGCACTAAAAGGGAAAAAGAAATAAAGAAAGATACCAGCTAAAAACCTTCAACAAAGCCTAATTCATTACAAACCCACTAACCAGAAACATGTGATAGGTCAGAAAGATACAAGGCCAATGTGAACCTTTGGCCTAGTTGTGCAAGCATTTGCTAAATCAATGAATGGAAACTATTTCAGAGAGGATTGAAACTTTAAAAAAAGAAGAATAATTATTCTAAACATTTACAATAGAAAATGACAGTTTAGTTATAAACAACTTATCCATAAGTTAGATCACGTGCCTCTACAAAAATCTTCTTTAACCTTACAGGATTTGCTTTAATGATAGTGCCCTTTCAATTTTAAAATGAACATGAAATACATTTCAAAAAGAAAACTGAAAGCCTTTTCCTAGGTGAAATGGTCCTTTCTTCCTTCCAGTGTCCTGGCTCAAAGGGGTTACTGGGTGTTTTAGATTCATACATGAAGTCTAAAAGTAGCCTGTCTGGGTTCAGATTCACCACCTGGGCGTGCTCATGATGGTGATGGGGCCTTCATTTCTTTACCTGCAAAACGAGGTAATGAATATCTAAGACATTTTAAAATTCTCCCTAAAATTTTAGATGTCACATATACCAAGGTGAAGCACTGGTCCGATAAAACCACACCCCAGGTGTCACTGGGCCATGGGACATGGTGAACATTTCAACGCCACAGGGAAACGCCATCTTGGAAGCCTAGGGTATGGTAATTTTACACCACTGCCCATCACAAACCTTTGAACTCTTCAAGTCTCCTTTTCTTCAGATCCCTTGCCAGAAGAAACCCAAACTAGCCCGCCAGGTACTCCTGGTTATGCAGAGGTCTATCCGATGCCTCTTTGTCTCTAGAAAGGTCTCAACTCTCTTTTCAAGTTCCTTCTCGAAGGCACCTATAGTCTTCCCTCATCCACACCCTCCCGAAACTCCTGAACAGCTCTGCTTGGGAAACCTTTTAAATAAATTCCTCTGTTCCTTCAAGGCATTCAGTTCCATAACATCGTCTCAAATTGTTCTTCAAAATCTGTTGTCGAGCCTCGCCCCTGAGCTCCTCATCTGACTAAAGACACAAAGGGGTGAGCTGGAGCTCTCATGCTGGTGAGTTGAACTGGACACCAGTTTGGGGACTGTCCCTTTGGACACCACAGAGAGAGAGAGAGAGAGAGAGAGAGAGAGAGAGAGAGAGAGAGAGAGAGAGAGAGAGAGAGAGAGAGAATAGTGACACACCTGAATAGGTCCGCTAGAGCAGAGAAAAACTAAGGCTTGCTGTGGATTGAGTAGAAGGGCAACACTCGCGCACGCGCGCGAACACACACACACACACACACACACACACACACACTCACTCACACACCGGTGAGAGCTGGGTGGAGAGGCAGCACCAGGTATCTATCTGACAACCGCAAGGCTCGGATCCGGATGCCGTCTCTAAGCGGGTATCGCAGAACCCTCCCTGACATCTCGGCAGGTTACAGTTAGAGCATCCTTCCGCCCCGCCCGGCTCCCCACCCCCCGCGAACTCGGGTCCCCAGTGTCCTCTAGAACGCCGGCGTGGCTGTCGCGCTTCGAACCCCCTGGTCCACTCTCGCCCTGAGCGCCGGCGGCCGCGTCTCTGGCCAGCCTCCGGGCCCCGCATCAATCATTAACGCGGCGGCCCGAGCCGCTGCAGCCCCAGAGGGGGATGGGGGGATGGTAGGCGACGCGAGACAGGGGACACCTCCATCCCTCGCCGCGGCGCAGACACCCTAACCCCGGGGGCCCCCGCCCTGCGCGGCGCCGCCCTCCCCCCGCCAGCGCCTCGCGCACATCCCGCCTCCCGCCGCCCGCCCCGCGCGCACGATGCCCAGTCACCGCCGCGCCGCCGCCACCGCAGTCAGCCGCGCCACCGCCGCCGCCACCGCAGCGCGGCCGGCTGCGCGCTGACACAGGCGAGCGTGGCGAGGGCGCCGCCGGGAAGCCGCGCGCAGCTGTCCCCCGGTGTCCCGAGCTCCCGGAGCAGCCGGCTCCCAAGCCGAGGCCGCGTCGCCAACCTGCGGCCGCGGTCCCGCGCGCACGCGCGCGCACAAAGGCTCCGACGGCGACCGGCGCCCGAGGTGGCCTTGCGCGCGCCCTAGCTCAGCCCGGGGCACCATGCCGCGGCGCCTGCAGCAGCGGGGCGCGGGCGCCAAGGGACCGCCAGCCCCTGCCTCCCGGCGCTCGCACTCCGCCTCCGCCCCCCGGAGCCCGCCGGCCACCGCCGCCAAGCCGCTGCTGCGCTGGGACGAGGTGCCCGACGACTTCGTGGAGTGCTTCATCCTGTCCGGCTACCGGCGGCTGCCTTGCACGGCGCAGGAGTGCCTGGCCTCGGTGCTGAAGCCCACCAACGAGACGCTCAACTTCTGGACGCACTTCATCCCGCTGCTGCTGTTCCTCAGCAAGTTCTGTCGCCTGTTCTTCCTGGGCGGCAGCGACGTGCCCTTCCACCACCCCTGGCTGCTGCCGCTGTGGTGCTATGCGTCGGGAGTGCTGCTGACCTTCGCCATGAGCTGCACGGCGCACGTGTTCAGCTGCCTGTCGCTGCGCCTGCGCGCCGCCTTCTTCTACCTGGACTACGCTTCCATCAGCTACTACGGCTTTGGCAGCACCGTGGCCTACTACTACTACCTGCTGCCCAGCCTGAGCCTGCTGGACGCCAGGGTCATGACGCCGTATGTGCAGCAGCGCCTGGGCTGGCACGTGGACTGCACCCTCCTCATCGCGGTCTACCGCGCGCTCGTGCTGCCCGTGGCCTTCGTGCTGGCCGTGGCCTGCACCGTGGCCTGCTGCAAGAGCCGCACTGACTGGTGCTCCTACCCCTTCGCCCTGCGCACCTTCGTCTTTGTCATGCCTCTCAGCATGGCCTGCCCCATTATGCTGGAGAGCTGGCTCTTCGACCTGCGAGGCGAGAACCCCACGCTCTTCGTGCACTTCTACCGCCGCTACTTCTGGCTGGTGGTGGCCGCCTTCTTCAACGTCAGCAAGATCCCTGAGCGCATCCAGCCGGGTCTCTTCGACATCATCGGCCACAGCCACCAACTCTTCCACATCTTCACCTTCCTCAGCATCTATGACCAGGTGTACTACGTGGAAGAGGGCCTGCGCCAGTTCCTCCAGGCGTCCCCTGCCGCACCCACCTTCTCCGGCACGGTGGGCTACATGCTGCTGCTGGTGGTTTGCCTGGGGCTGGTCATCAGAAAGTTCCTGAACAACTCGGAATTCTGCAGTAAAAAGTGAGCCTCCACCCGGGAGGAGGCTATGGTTTGCCCACCTGTTTGCGTGGAGTTTCTGTTGTTATTGTCGGTTTGTTTTCAAGTTTTGTTGTTTCCTTTGCTAGAGGAGGGTGCTGTAGACCATAAGGAAAAAGGTCTTGGCTAGTTGGGGATCCCCAGTCCACTGGCTTTGGAAGAGGAGATAAGGATGAAGAGGAAGGAAAGGGGCCCTCTGGGAAGAAAATTAGGTATTGTCTATGATATCCAGGGATTTTGCAAAGACACTGAAGAAAATCACAGAACCCCAAGCAGTTGGCTTTCCTAACAGTCTTCTGTGCCCTTTAGTGAATCCAGGCAGGTATGCAGTAAAGAGGATAAACACAAATCCCTGGCTGCCCCCACCGCAGTCTAGAAATGCCTGGATTTGTCAAAAGAATGGACCTTTCTGTGTTGAGAAATGGGCACAAAGACACAAACCCAGGGCTTAACCCGCTAGACAATGCATGGAATGTGAACATAAGTTAATTATTTCAAAATGTTTATCAGATGTTATTTAAGTGATAATATATACAATGATCTTTTTTTCATAATTTATCAAAGCCCATGAGACGCGCTGAGTTTTCTCCGTCACGCAGTTCTGGTTTTGCAGCCTTCTACGTCGCACTCGTGAGCTGGACATCAGGACAAGCTGCTTAAGCGCTCGACCACATTTTTAAACAGTGTTTTCTGAAGGCCCGTGAGTGTCATGATAAAGCCGAATGACTACTTAGGGACCCTGCTTAGACTATTGGTGAGGCCCCAGTGGTTTGTATAGGTCTCCAATTCCTACTTACTTTAATGTAGTCCACAAAACCCACTCTGGGTTTTTGTTTTTATTTTTTTTTAATCTTTTAATCTGATTCTTTCCTCTCTACTTATTTAAGTTGCCACTAAAATAAATGTGCCTTTTGAAGCAATGCCCAAATGACTGGTCCTCAGACACTGTTCTTGTACCGGGAGAATAGCGTATTCTTACTACTTTCCTGCAGATCATGGTTGAACAGGAGGGAAGGAAGACGGGCTTGGTTTTAGGTTTGTAGTGGGAGCAGAAGTAGCTCAGAGGTGTACAGCGCATATGACTTCTGCAAGACTCAGCCCTCTAATGTGGCTGAAGTTCCTGGTGCAACCATAAGGATGGGAGAGAGGACAGGAATGCACGTGACCTTGCTTAACACTTAAAAGGCGATCAGGAGTACGCGAGGCAGTTCTATTATGAAAGTCAGGATCCTGCTACTTACTACTGAAATTTCTGAGTTAAGACTCCAATTGTCCAGTTAAACACCAAAGTCTCATTTGAATCCAGACTATGGAAATGATTGGCAGCTATTTCAGAAGCTTAGCAACATGCCCCCAGACTCTTCCAATGACTCTACTGGCCAGGGTTGTTAGACATTTCTTATACATGTTAACCTGTCATTAAAATGGCAGCTCTTCATCACAAACCACCGAGGTAGTGTATATTAAATATTCGTCACGCTTCTTGGTAAGCCCTTCTGGCTAAGAGCCAACCACATTGGTGAATGGGAGCCTCGGCTTCATGGTATAATTTTAGGCAAACACATGAGGTACATGAGCGGTTACCTCAGTACTGGTCAGACGGTGCTCCTGAAAAGGTAGCTGTTTTGTTTATGCTCTTAATTGCTACTGTATTTGTAAATAGTGAATCTTGGCACAATTCCCTGGAGGAACCAATGCCCTGTGTGTGTTCACGTGCACACACGAGTTAAATTCCTATGTGCGTATTGACTTGAGGGCTTCTTAAACTCTACTGGGATTTTAAATACACTTTGCACAACCCTGTGAATGTCAGCGTCTCATCCTTTGCTGTGCACTTACCACAGAGACTGAACCTCAGCGACACTTAATTCAGCACGTGTGATCAAGGATAACTGGAGATCAGGACACAGCCACGTCGACTTACTTGCATGTCACTGTTGTAAAGTCGCAAAGAACGTTCCTTTGTGAACTAGAGAAACAGGTTAAGGAGCATTTTGTAGGGTTTGTTGTTGTTTTGCTTTTGTTGAATGGGACCTCCTCCCCCGGCTGACACACACACTTTTAAAAGAGAGAGAGAGACATCTGAAAGAAGCTGTGTGCGTGAGGACAGGAAGAAGGACCCAGAATTTGCCATTTTAGGCTTTGGCTGGAGGGCTTCCAGGTCCCCTCTTGCTCTGTGCCTTTGTCTTTAAGCAGAGGCCACTTGAGGATGAAATCATGCCCGTATCATTTTCCAGTGATTATGATGCATGAGCCAACGAGATGACCTGCTTTCCCAGGAAAGGTCTCCCCATCCCCACCCCATATGCTCCAGGGAGAAGGAGGATTCACTTCCCCCTCCTCCTGGCATTTCCCTTCTCTGGGTTCCTTTCCTCCTCTTTATGAGCCACGAGCATTGGCGATAGGGCATTCTAATTGAAAACAGCGGCTCAGCTTCCCTTCCTGTTTGCAGATAGGTACTGCACACACCATCAAGATCGGGGATGGCTTGACTCCGTGTGACCGGCTGGATTATATTATTCCTGCTGAGGCGGATAACGCTGTTTTAGAGCAAATATTTACTCGGTCCCCGTTTGCACAGAGCTAACCAGGCTTGTTACACGTTTCAGGAGTAATGTAGCCCTCAGAATGAATTTCTTTAAAAAAAAATACTTTCCCATGATCTCCATTTTGCCACATCCATTAAATTCGGTTTTGTTTTTATTACATTTAACAGTTCCCAATATGTGACAAATTATAAATAAGAATTTCACTCTACTATCTTCATATAATCTATTTGGCAGTAACATTTTGAAGGACGTTAGGAAATCCATCTTATTTTCACTTGTTAGTCACAATCTAGGTGGCATCTCCAGGAGTAACCCCTTGGAGTTATGCCTGGGAAATAACTGTCTGATTCTGTGCCTGTTACTTCGTGGGTTGGTCCCAGGGCTGGCTATAAGGTTTAGTTGGTTAGGGGGAGAGCCTTTTTTCCTACCCGTCTTGCCACTCAGGTGAAGAAGGTGACCTTCCAGAGAAAGGAAGTACAAGTCCTTCACGTCGTGACAGGCTTGTAAAAATAAACATGATCTTTTCCCAGTGGCCATCCACGTTCCATAAATAACCCAGGGAGAAAGTATGGGGCTGCGTAACTGTCCAGAGTAGCCTTCGTCTGCTTCCATTCATAAACCCCACCTGTAAGTGCTTACAGTCAGAAAACCTCCTTTGTGTGTGGGAACCATTGCTGAGAATGTAAAATTGGTAAATGTTTCTGCTTGGTGATGAGTCTGGGGGCTAACTCCAATAAGTCAGGATAAGCCAGGATTGATTCCTTCCTTCCTTCCTTCCTTCCTTCCTTCCTTCCTTCCTTCCTTCCTTCCTTCCTTCCTTCCTTCCTTCCTTCCTTCTTTTTTTGAGACAGGGTTTCTCTGTCCTGGAACTAGCTCTTGTAGACCAGGCTGAGCCTCGAACTCACAGAGCTCCACCTGCCTCTGCTTCCAAGTGCTGGGATTAAAGGTGTGCGCCACCACCGCCTGGCTAGCCAGAATTTCTTTATCTTCAAATCCCCCAGCTAATGAATTGGCACGAAGCTATGGTAGACAGGTGTGGTGGAAGTTACTTCTCAAGGGTTTTCTCATTGGCTGAAGGTGGCAGAATTCAGTTTCCAAACTGTTATTCGAAGGCAGGGATGGTTGTGTGCTCAGTTGTGTCTCTTAGTCTGCAGGACTCTGGACTCTGTTACGTGGTCAAACATACAGATGCTAATTGGATCTACTGTATATAATCTTGGATAAATATATCCATCTAATTGAATATTTAGTTTAGAATAGAACAAAAGAAGAGATGGCTACCTTTAAAATTAGATTATAAAATCTTAGAATGTTACCAGCCACTGGAATGGTTTTTCTCATCTTGTTCTTCATCTGCTAGGTTTGGCGTTGCTGACTCTGTTATGGTCCTTTGACTTATGTCCACCTTGTCTTTGTGAAATCTCCCTAGTGATTACTGAACATCTAATGTACGTGAGACATTAAACAAGGATCCGTGCCTCCATCCATAGTATTACAAACGTGACCAGAGTTACAAGTTAGAGTTCTTTCCCCCATTGGTATAAGATCAGTATGCTAGAATCTTATTTTAATTAACACAGTAATTTATCTGCAGCTTTTTTCTCTGTTCCTTAGGCTAAAGTAAAACAAACAAACAACAACAAAAAAAAAACACTTGAAACCTTAATTTACCATTCAGGTATAAGAAGAATGTGTGTATGAAGAATTTAGCATTTATCATCACAGTAATGATATTTCTAACGATGAGCTACTGGAAGGTTTACAGCATCTACACCGTTCTTAAGAGGGCTCCATTCAAAGTGCCTAACATAAGGTGTAACTGAGTGACTTTCATAGACAGTGTGGTAAAAGCAAGACCCCTCACAGGCGTGAGTTTAAATGCTTAAATCTCCAGAAAGTTCCTAGCCTTTTCCTTCCTTCCTTCTACAGTTCTTTAGTGACAACTTTCAGAGAGCATCTTGAAAACGAAATCTTTTGTCAAAAGGGGGATCATACATACATACATATATATATGTATATGACCAAATATGCATAGGCGCTCGCGCGCGCTCGCGCACACACACACACACACACACACACACACACACACACACGGTTGGCAGAAGGTGTAGGTAAGATGGAGTAGGATTGGATTCAAGCTGCCAGTATGGGGCAGCCGCTCACCCATGGACAGTGTTACCTGGTTTTAAATGTTGTCCCCAGAAAAGTATGTGGACTCGGAGGGTGTCGGTGTTCAAACAGGTGGCAAGGGATCCTGTTTGGCATCTTAATATCCTGTAACTTTTTACTCCAGCACTGAGTGCCATGGGATATTTTGAGTAGTACGCTTATCCCGTGGCTTAATTTGTTTCCATAAAATTAGGGCATAGGTCAAAAAGGCATCAGGGCCCAATTGTGAAGCACATTTTGAGTCATTTTCTTGAAGGATTGCCAGTATTTGTTAACATGTATTGCCAGACGAAAGCAAACAAGCGTCCCCTGAGAAAGGACGGTTGAACCAGGCATTCAGGATATTCCTTTATGAGGGGCCATGAGCCTTCTTATTGAAGTCTTGGGGTCTTTGATACTGTTTTCCTTAATTACAAAACAATTATCAGTCCTTACTAATCAAGAAAACCTAACATAATTTTCTGTTGTCATTCCCCAAAGAACAAACATATTGCCTTTCTGGTTTGTGAATTTTTCACTCATTTGTAGGCTGTTTGGGATTTGCTTTGCTTTGTTTTAGCGTCTTAACACAGTCTGTGAGCCAGCTGCAGAACTGGATGGTTTAGTTATCGGTCAGGACCCAAAATGCCCATTTATCTGGGAATGGCGGCAGGGTGTGCCTTTTGGAAGCTCCGAGCACACACCTGTGTGCAACAATACGCAGTTCCGACTTGGTGCAGAAAGAGAGCAGCCTCTTTCCGCTTTCGGAAACGCCTGCCCCCACCCAGTGTCAAGCTTCAGAATGTAACACGGAAGCTTTGATGCATTTTGTTCCAAACATGACACTCAAGGAAATGTCTGGAGTGTGCAAATTTATTCTCGGAAGTGTAAGAGTGGCAGGTCGCCTTCCCCATGCCTTACAACTCCACCCAAAATATGCAATAGACATTTGCACTCAAGGCAGAGTTGGGAGGAGTCCTCAGCTGGTTCTTTAGCTGAGCCATAAAGGCCTTGCTTCTCATGGGTTACCCCCCACACCGAGATGGACACCATGTCAGTAAACCCTGGTTCTGGGCAAAGTGTCGGGACACGCTTCTTTTGGTTCCATTTCTATTTAGAAAGTATAGTTGTTGGTTTTTTTTTTTTTAACTTGCTGGATGCAAAACAAGACAATTCATGGGAAAAATTTTTTAAACACGTTTTAATTTTATATTCCAAAGGTTTGTAATAGCAATTTGTTTGTTTAAAAAAGCAAAACAAAACAAAAAAACAGGCTTTAGCACATGGATGAGAACCAGGGCTTTTTCAAAAGCCTCATCTTTGGGCATTTAATCATTCTGAGCTCCTACCCAAATGATAAAGGCCTCTTGGATCTTTCAAACTGTAAATATTCTGTAGTTTTCAAAAAAAGATAACCATTTTTTAAAAAAAGACAAAAAAGCGTCAGATAGATTCTAGGTGTATAACAAGGCTAAACTTCTGGGTAGAAACGTCACTAAATTCCCTCTCCTGAGAAGGCTCAGGAGTAGAGGCCTGTCTCTGCCCCGCTGGTTTCCTTTTCTGATGATGCAACCGAGCAACTGAAGGACGTGAGGCACGTTTCACGCAGATGGAATGCCGTCATAGCAAATCACAGCGCTAGGATGCTCTGCCTGCTCACTTGCTTCTTCCCCATCAAGCCCTAAGTCCCGTGTATTGTTGCCTGGACAGGAAAGCTTCTCATTTGGAGGCCTGTAGGAAGGATTCTGTGGCAGCTTTTCCTTTTGCTTAGGCACGTGGTAGCTCTGAACTTGAATCTTCATTAACCTTTCCCAAGCTATTCCAGCCACCTTTGAAGCCTTCGCTTTCCACAAATCCAGCCTTGAAGACATGGGTTCTTAAAAGGATTCCCTGTGTATTTAGGCATTCAACCATCTGCCTTATGAGAGGGATGCTCAAAGGGATGCTGTCTGTCCTCACGTTCTTCAGGGCAGGGGCAGAGTGGGGGGATTTAACAGACCAAATAGAAAGGTTTCATCTATGGTTTTTAAATTTCATTTAATGGTGACAGCAGAGGAAGACGGGAGTGAAGAATAATGTAGGCATAAAGAATCACTGCTTGTTAAATTCTTAGGCCACCCTGACTCTGGTCCTCACCCCGAGCTGACTTAACTGGCTAGAGAGGCATTCTCAGGATGGAGGAGCTTCCAAGCTGGATTCTAAGGTGGTCTCAAGCCCATGGTCCATTCATGTCCATTCCGACAGAAGACCGTTCCTTCATCATAATTTCAGATTTCCAGAAAAACGAGGCAAACTCATCTATAGAAATAGATACTGTTCTCGTCAATTCTGTGCATGTGACTGAACAAATTGCCTTTCATTTCTGTTGTAGAGTTCACTATGAGTTTAACTTTTTGAGAATTTGTTTGCTCCTGTCTTGAATATGAAAAAAATCTGTGGAAATGATAAAACTATGCATTTTTTGCTGAAAAACAAATGTATGAAATAAGAATAAATACTTTGTAAGCACAGTGCTTTGAACTGTGTTTGTATGCCTCTGCAAATGTTCAGATTATATTCTTCAGCTAACTGTTCCCAAACTAACAGTAAAACATATGGAAAAACTCCCGGAACTCAGGAGGCTGAGGCCAGCCTGGGCTACATAGTGAGCTACAGGCCAGCTCAAGATATTTAGCAATTCTCAAAAAAAAAAAAAGTAGCAAGTATGTGAAATACTGATAAATATAAGAAAATTTGACAATCAGAAGAATATCATTGCCCTGAAAAAATCTTTAGTATATTATTTTTAACATTTGTTAAATGAAAATGGGACATTCCCAAGGTACTTTGAAGTCATATCTCTTATGATACCAGCTTACTGATTTTAAAGGGGTCCATGGCCTATAGGTACTGGGCAGTAAACACTGCCCTTGAATTCTGACAATGCTGGGAATTTACATTTTTTTTTTTCTGGGAAGGAAGATCCAACTGAAGTCTTTCAGCTCTGAAGCATTTTAATGCTAAGCCTTTTCATCACACAGACTCTGTTGGAGGCTTTTGATTATTAGGGACAGAACTTTTCCCTTTTAATGAAGCAAGGTTTATAGAAGGAGCAAGGTCGGTTCACAGGATCCAGAGGGCTGACTGGTCAGACATACAATGCTGGTGATTCCAGCTAAGAACACCCACTTTCCTTCCCAGTTGCTCTCCAGGGCACTGCCACCAGACAAGCCAACAGCAGCTGCTCTCTAGCCTGGCTGTAGCTACCCTCAACTCAGATTCCGGGGAAGGGGCATCTGACTGATCTACCTTTAGGCCATGTGGATTTTTTTTAAAGACAAAGTGGGGGTATCAGTCATTTGAGCCTTTTTTAAAACCACCAGAAAGGTAGAGAGAGTTTCCCACAGGAAGGCTGGTAGGCAGACAAAATAACTGCCAGCTAGACAAAGCTGACTGCTAGCCATTTCATCCACCCTCTGTGCTGTGGGTAGAGGCAAACCCCAGACGCCCATCATTGAGGAATATGAAGTCAATGGTGCCTTAAGGGAAGATGAGAACTTGTGTCTGTGGCTGCCAGTCAAGCCAGTGTCCTACTACTCTGGGGTCCCTATTGAAGGATGGGAGGGAGGGAGGGAGGGAGGGAGGGAGGGAGGGAGGGAGGGAGGGAAAGTGGGAAGGAGGGAGGGAAAGTAGAAGGGAGGGAAAGTAGGAGGGAGGCTAACATACTAAAAGAATAGCAGCCCTAGGCCCCCCCCACCCCAGCTAGCACACACCCTCCTTCACAGAATACAACTACTACACAGATGCTCCAGCTCTTACACCGCTCCCCCCTTTCTCAAAGACAACCATAAACCTGACTCGGTACTTCGGCCCCCAGAACCACCCTCATTCAGGTTAGGATTCATGCACTGTGTAGGACGTCTGGCCACCTCCCAACTTGATTTGAGGCCACCCCTAAGAGGGCTACTCCATCTGAATGTCCATGAGTGTCCAGTGCCTCCTGAACCTGCCAGACACTTTGCTGATGCTTTCAGACTCCACCTTCCCAGGCTTCTTAGTTTTGTTGTTGTTGACATTGTTTTAGTTTTTTTTTTTTTTTTCTTGAGATCTCCACCCTGGTTGCTGTTATCAACCATTGTCTAGCCTGAGAGAAGAAGGGAAGATAAGAATAGGGCTGTCAGTGGCAGTGGGCCACGTCCTGAGAAGGCTGTTTAGTCTGGGCCTGAAGCCTACACACCTTTGGACTTTCTCTTAGAAGCCAATAAATTCCCTTCATCACAGAGTTCGGCTTATGTCGGACTGCTGAAACCAGAAGTATCTTAACTCTTCTGTAAGACTTGCTCACCTCAGTCACGTGTGTTAGGACTGTTATCAAACTCGGGGTCACAGTCTGTACCCAAGAAGTGAAGTTTGGCCACAGATCCTTGAGAAGCCAATTATAACAGCCAAACACAGTTTAAAAAAAAAACACCAAGGAGATGCATTCATTGCAGCCACCTTGAGAAGAGGGACAGAGAAAACCAGTGTCCCCACCCCACCGTCACCACCAAGTTCATCTTCCAGATGACCCAACATTGTCTGGTCTTCATTCTCACCTTCAAGGTGGCCTGGCAAACTTCTGGAAATGTGAAATCTCTTTTCTGCTCACTTCAACTGAACTAGTCCAACATTGTAGCATCTGCACACTAAGTCTTTGTAAAACATTGCTAATTTTTTTTTAAAAAATTACTTTTATTTATTTATTGGGTGGGAAGTTGTGCCATAGTGCATGTGGGGAAATCAGTGAACAACTTGAAGGAGCTGGTTCTCTACTTCTGAGGCATTGTTGAGTAGGTTTCTGAGATAGAAACATCCCATCCTGCAGGGAAGCTCCTTAAACAGGAAGGTAACCAACTCAGAATAGCTTCAGGAAGTCCCTGAAACTGACCAGATTCACTAGGCTCCTCTTTGACAGAGTAAACGACTAAAGCCGAGCGTCCTCCCTCAGCGAAGCCAAGCTGCAATGAAGACTTCTCAGCCAAGCAGAACTGTCACCCATCCTGGCATGGGCTTTGGTAATATAGTTGTCTTTGAGTCATTTCTCTCTTCATCTGTGGGTAACCCCTCATCCATATGCATGTGAGAAACCAATAAATAACCAATAAAACTCATTGGTTCCCAAAGTTGGACTTTGGCAGTATCTGGACTTGGGTCTGTTACGGGGTCTCTGTCTGGGGTGAGTAGGCCCAGATATGTGTTGCATCTCTTCAGGAAAAGCTTTATCCCACAGCACACTGGGATTGAACCCAGGGCAACATCCTGGTGACAAGTGCATTTACCTGAGACCTTAGGCTTCCCGTAGCTGTGACGCAACACCACTACCAAAGGCAACTGGGAAGAAAAGGGGTTGTTTCAGCTTGCAGCTCTTGGGTCACAGTCCATCCCTGAGGGGAGACAGAACAGGAACTGGAAGCAAAAACCCAGAGGCAGGAACTGAAGCAGAGGCTACGAAGGAACTCTGCTTACTGGCTTGCTCCTTATGGCTTGCTCAGCCTGCTTACTGAAATAACACAGGGCCACCTGCCCAGGGGTGATAACCACCTACATTGAACTGGGCCCTCCTACATCAATCATCAATCAAGAAAACGTCCCACAGACTTGCCCACAGGCCAATTTGATGGAAGCAGTTTCTCAGTTGAGAGTCCCTCTTTCCAGACATGCCTAGATGTGTGTCAGGCTGCAGATGTCATCTCGCATATCCACTAAGTTATTTCGCTGGTCCTGCGATACTTCATTTGTAAGTGCAGATTTTCTGCATCCCGGTGGGACTCAGCCAGTGATCTTATTGTGATACCCACAGTTTCCTTTCTCCATCCTGTCCTCCAGCGCAGGCATTCGAAGTCTCCAACCCCACTACTCTTCGCCTCTCCTCCGATTTCAGCTCCCACCACTACCCACCTGTTCAGATACCACACTGTATCCATCATGCTTTGCGCTCTGGTGTGTTCTCAGCTATTTCCTCCCCACTGAATTAGTCATGAGAGCATTAAAACGTGAACTACCAGTGGCTTCCTCTCCCAGTTGAGATCATTGCCTTGCTGTCAGCCCCACCCCCGCCTCCATTCTACCCTCTGATCATTATCCACCCCCACCTCCTTTATAACAGGCCTTTGGAAAGGTGCTGGGGGTTGTCCTTGCTTTCTTACGGCTCACTCCTCCACCCTCTGTGCTCTGGGTTCATTAATGTTTCTGCAATCATTAACCACTTCCTCATTGACTAATAAAAAATTATGTATTTATTTGTGTGTGCACACGTGCGGTGTGTGTGTGTGGTATCCATAGGGCAGGGTAGCACGTGGGTGTGTGGAAGCCCACAGGCCAGTGTCTTCATCTATTATTCTGCATCTGAGCTTTCAAGACCGGCTCACTCAGTGAACCAGAAGCTTGTTTTTTCAATCAAACTGACTGACCATCAAGCTCTGAGATCTGTGCATCTGCCCTCCCGTGCTGCAGTTACAGACGCATGCCACCATGCCCTCCCGTGCTACAGTTACAGACGCATGCCACCATGCCCTTCCATGCTGCAGTTACAGATGCATGTCACCATGCCCTCCTGTGCTGCAGTTACAGACGCATGCCACCATGCTCTCCCGTGCTGCAGTTACAGATGATTGTCACCATGCCCTCCCATGCTGCAGTTACAGATGCATGTTACCATGACCTCCTGTGCTGCAGTTACAAATGCATTCCACCATGCCTGGCTTTTACTTGGAACTCAGATCCCCATGTTTGTAGCAGGTAGTTTACCCACTGCGCTATCTCCCCAGCTGGACAGACATTTCTGAGGTCCTCTTTTCCGTTACTCTCTTCCAAGACTCTCTGTGTTGCCTCTGGAACCTTCTGCTGTCCTCACATGACCGCCTCTGCCAGATCGTCTCCTCCATGAAGGCGTGGAGGAAGGTTCAAAGTATGAACAGAAGCCATCGACATCACTGTGCTTCTGGTCTTGGTCAGCAGTGTTCTGACTCGGCTGCTAGGCATCAGCACCTCTGCCCCACCAGGGTACTGCGTTCTTGTTCAGGAAACTTGACCTTGAGATCAGACTCCTTTAGTTTATCCATCGAGTCTGTAAGGCAGCCATTGCCAGATAATCACCCCCTCCCTTCAGCTGCCTGAGTGAGCTCTGTTGTCTGCAGCTGAGTTCAAACTGACATCTTAGATAAGCAGAGAAGAGGAGGATCAAAAATTGTGGGCAAGCTGGGCAAGAGGGTAACTGTGGGAGATAAGAGCCAGGAGGATTAGGAATTCAAGACAGTTCTCAGCCACATACTGAATTCCATTCTTGCTTGGGTTCTATGATGAATTTGAGGCCAGTCTGGGCTTCATGTGACCTTGTTATAAACAGGGATAGGGATGGGAGGGGATTCTGGCAACAGGGAGGCATAGCTCCATGTTCCCCAAACCACTGACAAGCATACTTTTTAGGCTTCTGATAGATTTTTTTTAATCTTTAATTAAAAAAAAAATTCTTGGCAAAACAAAGCAGGTTTTG